TTTGACAACACTTAGTGAAGTGACATGACTTAATGTTGTTTTCTCATCTGAGATGGAAGGATTATGTGTCAAAGGTACTTCATATTCAAAACAACTTTGATCAGCGTTGAAAACGTGTGTAGATTTTACTCGAGGAATCACTTATTCGATCTTATAGAGAAACATCTTCTCGTCATTAACAGTTTTTTCTAGATCATCCATATTAATTTTTTTGTGACAAACTTAGTAACTTTTCTTGATGTTATATGGTGACGACGTTTAAAGTAAAATTCCAAGAAAGAAGATGTAACGAAGTTGAGTAAATTCATTTTTCGCGCTTTTCTGATAGCAAATCGTCTCAAATCTCGATCATGAATTGATAAACATTTGTTTCATGCTTGAGGTAGTTCATTAAAAACAGCGTGATCAAGTTGTTTCGATTTCTGAAGTTTTGTTCTCTTTTGCTTGACGTATTTTTTTATTCTTCTTAACTGTTTTGTAATGCCTGATAAAATGGTACCATCGTTTGACCGATGAAAACTGATGAGTATTTTCAAACTGTATAATGTCACGTATGGTTTGTTGAGAATACGAATGGTTCCCAACTGCATGAATTCCTTCATCAATACCTAATTCAGTTGTATGAAATTCATCATCATCAAAATCATTGATTTCGAACATGATATCACCTTCAATCAGTTCAGGTAAAGTTGTCAGTGACTGAGATATTGCAAAGAGTTGATCAGCTTTTATATAATATTGAGAAGATGGTTCATCTTCTTAACTATCTGAATACTTTTCCTTTACCAACTGATTCAATAAACGTATGACATTAGTCACTTTTAACATTGTTGTTATTTTTGATATTTTTCAATCTTATAAAGCAACTGATCACTTACTAGTTGTTCGTCAAAGAAAGTATTATTTTCTTGCATATATTGATTTCATTGTTTTTACAATCGACATACACAAATATATATATAAACAGGAATGTCGAAAAGAAGAGAACGTTCTGAAGAATATACAAAAACAACTCATTCAATTTCAATATAACATAACCCACAATCTATCAAATGTTCTTGCCGTCTAGCGTTAGTCCTATCAACTTTCCCGAACGCAAAATTTTGAGAAAGAGACGGTTTCTCCATCTAAGCACTCATATATGAAATTATTTCATCACGTAATATGCGTTGTAAAAAGAAAAACAAGGTATACCACAAGATGCCACGCGAAAAGGTCTACAAATCGCAAATTGACGGTTATTCACTTGTACACTACTTCCTTTCAACCAAAACAATATTTAGTGCAACCAGTTTTCGGCGTCATGCAAAAGCAATTTTTCTTTGCAGGAAGAGGAATTCCTTTTGTTTCGACCATCATGTTTTTATTACCTGATATGTTTTCGTAAACAAAACACAACATATACGAAAAGATGCGGTGTAAAAAGCTCTGCAAATTACACAGTCAAGGTTATAAGAATCATTATAGAATAAAGCAAAATTCTCTTCGCCCAATTTCGGCACCGTTGAAATTTGGTCGCCCAGAATCCTGTCTCTTTCGAAAACAAACTGATAACATCGATTGTGCAACGATGATCGTGGCTTATGCGCAATGGCTCCCAAGCTAGCACGAAGGGGCCCAAGTTCCTTTCATAGGTAGAACGAGCGAACCCAAGTACCGCCTCTCTGCATAAGTAATCAGTGAAGTCACACTTTTTAATTCCGAAACCCGATCCGATTCCGAAAAGCTTCGAAATTTTTTGTAGCTCAGCGATAATGATTTCATATCAAGAAAATCGATGAGTATTGGGCTTTTGATTTTAGTCAGAATGTTTTTGGCAATAAGCATGCTAATATTGTTGATATTTTATTATTTTGGTGCCGACAAGAAGATTTATTTCAAATATTATCAACTATGGCAAAAATGGTTCGTGCAGTCTCAGGTCAAACAATCCTTGCTACCGGATTTCGTCGGAATCGGACTAAATTCGGGCAAAGTCGAGAGAATCTGATCTTATATGAGGCGGATCCAAGAGTCGAAATTCGGTCACAAAGATTTTTTAGAGTCCAACAGTAACCGACCTAAATGATTCAAACTCAATAGGATCCAATCAAGCATGAGGGACCTAGGGTACCAGCTTCAAATACTATTATTGAACGTCCTTTTTCAGCAGCGCAAAGTGTCTTCATAGAAACAAGAGCAAGTTTCGATGGTGAAAAAATAAACCAAATACTATTTTTATAAAAGAAAATGAAAACTTTACAACATTTGTGAAATAATGATTTTCATAGAAAACGAATAGCGTCAATATCATCGAGAACAATTCTATTTTCTGAAGAATCAACCTTCACAAGTTCTAAACAATTTCGTCTCGATGCCAACAATAGTTTCAATGACTTTAATAAAGAGAATATTCGTGTTATTTATGAAACTATCAATCACATATTTCTGTTCGTTATATAATCAATTTATGTATAAACTTGTTACTAAATAAAAGTCAGATAATTTAATTCTTGTAGTAATATGTCTCAGACATTAGCTCCCACAAATATTTTTTTCAACCTCGTACTACTTCAACTCCGTGAGAGTCGAAATCAAATTCCGGAGTCTGATCCAGTTTTTTTTTACTTTGACTCCGACTCCGGAAAATTTTTTCCCACAATTCCGATTCTGACTCTGACTCCAAAAATTTTTTTTCTCCGTTCCGATTTCAATTCCGACTCCGTCAGAGTCGAAATCGAATTTAGAATTCCGATGCAGTTCACTACTCTGCATAGGGTTGCTAGATGAAGATCCAAGTATCCTCCCTCCTCCCCAAGGACAACAACATGAGGACCAAAGTCTGCCTAGGATAAGTAGATGAGGACCCAAGTACCCCTCATAGGATATCAAGATGACGACCGAAGATATGAGCATGGTCGTTTTCTTGCCGATGGCACAAGCACTTTAACGTTCAATTTCTTAAAATTAAAGGGCTAAAGTGAGTTATTTTAAACTTTATCGTTAAAGCTAATCAAACTTAAAAATTTTGAGAAACTGAAATAAAGTCAAAACCTTTCCGTTACACGTTACCCGGTAACTGGTAATGGGTCCGTTATCAGTTAGTTGGTAACGTAACGGTAACTTCGCTCCCCTATATATGACATTATTGTTTTTAAGTGTAATTACGCAAAATAAAAAAAAACAGAAATCATAGAAAACTTTATTTGTTAGTTTTCAAAAGAATAATATTAACGACTATAGGTTTCGAAGTACTTTGAAGCTTGAGGCCTGGAAATCCTGTTTTTTTGTAGGATATTAATATAAGAAATATCTCATGCTACCGATAGAGCAAATAATATTATTATGCTTTTTTTGCAGAGTAACATCTTTTTGTACTGATTATTCAACGGGAACAGATTGATCTCGCTTGACAAACATTGATGTTTTTATTATCGATTTGTACTTGATTAACTCAGATGGATAAATAAACATTGAAGATTGAACAAAGAAAGATTCGACATCAATGAACATGAACTACGAAAGGAAGACAACTTCTTCTTTATCGAACGTTGTACTACATGTATTAACAATTGACGATGACTTCTAACCTTATACTACGTAAATGAGTTACTTGTACGGAAAATATCAATTAACATGATCATTGATAAATATGATCAATGTAAAAACTTAAAGACTTAACAAATGCATCGTTGTATGCGATCTGATTCGTCTAACATCTATACAATCTTTTCAAAGCAAGTGATAAGCTCAACCATTGATAATTGAGATCAATTATAATTCAATAGTGACTTTTTCAGAATAAAATTATTTTTAATTCACAATGAAGTACCATTCTTACAGCAAAGAGTCAGCGAATCTGTAGGATGAGCGCTGCTTGTAATGTTACTAGAACGTCGATGCCACTATTATACAAACATAATTCGTTGATATTTAAGTCGTTTATATAGAAGATTTTTTTTCTACATGGAATGAACCAAGTAAGAATGAAAAACAGAATTGGTCTGAATGTAGATAAAATAGTTTACGCATAACCACAATCACATGCCTATACCGACATCCAAGAACTCACACACTCATAGCATGCATATACCCTTTCTTTTTTTTTGCAAATGCAAAATAGCATTAAATTCAATCCGTTATAGTAAATTCAATAACATTATTCATATTGTCGCCGAGCATTGCTCACATTTCATTGAAAGAACATTCTGATCATGGAGGACTTTTCTTTGGGTAGATCATACCGTTAAGGACCATTTCCATTTCTCAAGAGCATTTATTTTCAAGGACACTTCATGAAGAACTTTTAGACTGATATTTTGATCTACATTGTATATCGATAGAATATGTAAGTATGAATGAAACGAAATTTTCAAATCATATCTACTGACATAAAAAAACAATAACATTTTGAATTTCTGCAAATGAATATTCCTTCTATTTAACTATTATTATTTTCGATTGTTTTTCTGTTCATCCTAAAATAGAGTTATGTATTCTGTAACTATCAACTGACGTCCTCTACTCGACAATCAATCGATAACGCCATCTAATAACTAAAAATAAAATAATGTCGCTGAAAAAATTATTTTTAAGTATTGACATCGAATTCCATTTTTATTTTCATCTTTATTGAATTCTATATTTTTCCATAAAAAAAGACCAATGCAATTAAAATCTACAAATCATTCGATCTGTATATCATCATTCGCTATCTGGCGTATTCGATGTACGACAAAATGTACATACGATAAACAATGGCTATATATATGTTGATATTTATTTATTTATTATTTTTCTTTCTTTCTTTTCTAACGCATTACACAAAGAACTTAAAAAAAATGAAAATAATGTTTATTATTAACACCAAATTATTATATACTATATTTCAGATTGATAAACATTATCTTCATCTTTAGCAAAACGTTGACTGTGTTAAATCAAATACAAATACTTTTTGTTTTTCTTTTTTTTCGTGATTTCTTTTTTTTCTTCCGTTATTTAAATCAATACCAATAAAAATGAGTTCATCGGCCGCAGAAAAAGCCGAAGTAGATGCATTAATTGCTCAATTAAGTTCACGTGATAATGATAAAACATCTCAAACACATACAATTGCTAGTGGTGATGCTACAACAGCAGCATCTGAACGTAAACGTGTACAAATACGTCGAAATTCAGGTTCTACTTCAAATACACAAGTAGCTGGTTCACCAACAGATGTACATGGACATTTATTACAAAAAAATGCCAAAATTTCAAAAAAATACAATCGAAAATCAAGACAAGGTTTGTTTTATAAAAAAAAAAAAAAATTCACAATGATCTATTTTTGGTATTTTTCTATTATATTAAACACCTAACTGAAATTTCTATTGTAATTTGAATAGTTCATGGAATTTACTATTTAATACACTGTATAGTAATATTTTTTAGATGAACTCTGATGATAATGTTTAAAAAGAATCTGACATGGTAGTTTTCAGGTCGAAAATATTTTTTAACAATGTCATCTTAAAGAGCACAAAGTGAGAGGTTGTCGCATTTTCTATAACCTTCCGTTAAAAAATTAAAAGCATTATAAAAATTGTAATAAAACTCGACAGTTCTTCATGTTGTTCTCTTAACAATCGCATGGTAAAAACAAGCTCCAACAAATTTTTCTGACACCCAAAAAACTACCGTATCGGATTTTTTTAGAAACTTTGCTATAAAAAATTCCATTAACTATTAAAATAACTATCTGAATTTGAGCTAGATACTTCATATTATATTTAAGGAAGCAATCAAAAATATATGGATGTTAAACTTTTTTCTATCACTTTAGGTAAAGGTCGTGGTTTAGCCAAGAAAGGTGGCGGTGGTGGTGGTTACACATGGGGTGTACCAGGTTCTGAATTACTTGAAGAATATAATGAAGAATTAGATGATGAAGATTTAGCTGATTTACAATATAATGAAGCTAAAGCTAAACTTCTTGCTAAATCATCACAATCATCATTAGAAACAAAATTCACTAAATTAGCACTAATTGAAAATATGGATAAAGATGTTAAACCATTAATTGATGAATATCTTGTTAATGGTGATGCAAATGATGTTGCACAATCATTAAGAAAATTTGATGTTAAACAACGTGGTGGTGAATTAGTTGCTTATATTGTTACAAGAGCATTAGAAAAATCCAATGTTCATAAAGAATTAATATCACGTTTATTACATGATCTTAATGGTGTTATATTACGTTCAAATGATTATATTAATGGATTTAACTCATTATTAGAATCATTATATGATTTATCACTTGATAATCCCGAATGTTCAACTGATATTGGTAAAACAGAAAATTTGATTTGTCTTTTTTTTTTTTTTCTATTTTAATTTTATTCAGGTAAATTTATTGCTCGTTCTATTGCCGATAAATGTATTGAGAATACAAATGGAAAATATTTTGTTCAATATAAAGGACATGTTAAATGTGCAAAAATGCAAGCAGCACTTGATAAAGCTGAAACACTTGTATCAATGGGAGATTTTTATTTTCTTAATAATATTTGGAATGCTCAATCAAGTATGAGAATAAAACAAAAAAAAAAAAAATTTTTATATGATGATAATTGTACATAGATTTCTTAAAATTTTAGGTGGTTTTCGACCTGTACGAGAATTAGCTGATAGAATGAATATAATTATTCATGAATATTATGATAGTGGAGATGTTGATGAAACAATTCGTTGTTTAAAAGAATTGAATGTTCCACATTTTTTTCATGAATTCGTTTACGAACTAATGGATTTTTGTCTTGAAAAAAATACTGAACGGTTAGTATATTAAATAATTAGATTTTAGAAGAAAATTCCGATTTGTAAAATTTTTAATGAAATTATTTACAAAAGTTTTTATATTAAATGAAAATCTATTTTCAATTGTAAATATACAGAACTGAGAGAATTTGATGATCAAATTTTAATGTTTTGTATTCTCTATAACTTATGATTTTTGTTTAAAAACCTATTTGATAGCCTAATATCTTCTATCGTAGACGTAGTAAGTTCCTTTACTGAGTAAAAAGTACATAAACTTCAACCTTTCTACTTGATAGTTTGATTGAGAATAGAACTCGGTAAACCTTGATCGTCAGCAGCAGCTCAAGATCGACCAGAATTGATGCCACAGATTTATGATGAAAGCACTTTTTTCGGTAGGAATTTAAAAAGGTAGGTTTCTTTTGATACTTTTCTGGCTTTCAGCTATTTAACTGTATTAACCTCTATTGTCTGACATGCTCTCAGCATGAATTTCTTCTTGATTGATGACTGCAGTTGTAAAATATGGAGGGAAAACTTTATTACGGTAGAGCATTCATCGAAGATATCGATTAGTTTTCAACGATTCCCATAAACTCTCATGTCGAGATTACTTCACAAATCAAGCACACTGAACCATCGAGTGAATGCTCTGAGATCGTGAGCTTTGTTTTCCATGTTGACCAAGTTCTGATTGGTTCTTGTGATCACAGCTCAACATGTTCTATTTGTAGTCAAACTATGAGACAAAGATTGAAGTTTAAGTATTTTTACCTGATAGCAGATCTTTTCCAACTATTGTATTTATAGGTTCTATATTCAATGACTTTGAATAGTAGTAGATTGATAGATGCATGCAAATACTTTTTTTTGTGATCGACCTAATATTTTTTTGTTCTTCCGCAAGTATTCAATTACAGAACTCATTTGATACATCTCATCAATAGTTAAAAAACGGTACGACTTGTTTTTTTATATAACCTTCTGTCTAATAGAAAAACGAAAGTACTTAAAATTTGTATGTATTTTCAACTTTTTTCTGTTAAAGAGATCTGAATAAATAAAAATCAATTGTAGATGCTGATGTGACGCATAGAATTAGTTCTATAGTTGCGTATCTTTAGTAGAATATAAAACGTATAGTTTGGCATAGTTTCTTTTTTCGTTTGAAAATTTAGTTCGATTTTTCGAGTACTAAGAAACAATATCAATATGAATGAATATTGCTTCGACTAGACTTTTGTAACAAATATCATAGTTATATCCCTTAGTACGCATTTACTGGTCGTTTTCTTTAGAAAAGCATATACTCAATAAGAAATAACATGGAAAACTTATAGAGTCTCATTCAACTCTCTATGACTTATGAAAAAAATATTTAGATATAGAATTTGAAGTTTTCTTGAGACTAGAACAACCAGTTTTGCTTAAAATTTCAGAGAACATATGTTTAGATGTTAATATTTCAAAAAGAAACATTTCAACCCAAAATGTTGAACTTCTCTTGAACTATGATACCATCAAGGATCAAGAAATAGGTCTTCGTGTAACAAGAATTTCTTCTTGAAATCTAATGACCTACATTTCGAGTTAGTTTTAAAATGAAGTCAAGACCTGCCACTGCAATTTTAAAGAGTCTGATGAAAACTGTGGCTCTATTATATCGTAGAGCGCAATTTTCTCTTCAATTTAATACCTTTCCAAACTTCCTAGCATGTAGATCCTGACGGTTATTCAACTGCATCAAAATCGAAGAAAATTTTTTTTGGTCACTTGAACATCTTGTTTTAAATAAAATATCTATAGATGATAAAATATTTTTAGTGCTCAAGAATTAACAATTGGTCTTCTTGAAAAATTGACAAAAACGGTTGTGATTACATATGATCAACTTAAAACTGGCATGTTACGTTTATTTGATGATATAGATGATATTCATTTAGATGTTCCAAATGTTTATGAACAATTACAAACACTTCTTAAACAATTAGAAGATAAAAAAATTCTTAATCACGATATAACATCAAATGCACCCCAAAAAGGTCGAAAACATGCTACAAGTGAAAGCGAAAATAATAAACAAGAAAAACATTAAGATAAAAAAAAATGTAAGTCCATGTATTTACAGAAGTGGCAATTTATTTTTAGTTTTGTTTTCTTTTTTTTTAGCAAATATACGACATCAACGCGACTCTTTTAATAATGATGAACAGTTTTAAAAAGAATTCTACTAACGGCGTACAACTTTATTTGTTTTTTTTTTGTTCTAAAACTTGTTCACAACTTACCATTTGAGTCGCACAAACAAACAAAAAAAAAACGGAAGAACTAGTTTTTTTTTGGATAAAAGCATAAATAAATTTAGACACATGCAATGGTGAATTGTTTTCTTTGTGCATAATCTTCTTTATTCTTCAAATCAGCACTTATCATTATTTTTTTTTCTTTTTGTCCTTTGTTTTGATGATTGATTCATGATTGTGTGTTTGAACTACAGCAAGAACTTGAAAACGTTTAAGAAAAACATCACAAACATCGAATGGTCTAAACTTAGCGACACTCCTTTATATTCAACATATATATATATACATATCCAGTCATTCACTTATTCTTTTATCAGGAAACCATTTAATTATAGTAAGAGCTTAGGATGATTGTATGTGCGTATGTATTCATGGTTTTTTTTCTTTTTTTGGGTTAGGGCTTTTTTGTTTTTGGTTTTATTTCTGTTATCTTTTGGCCTCGTTTTATTTATTGCGTTATTCATTAATAAACTTTTCTTGCACTTTATATATTTTATTTATTTATATTAATCAATAATATGCACAAAACATATGTGCTTTCATTTGAAACAGTTAGTGGAAGAATGTTAGAGTTTTTCGTTCGTAGCCTTGAAGCCAAGGACTTACTGAGGGAATAGAGACTTGGAATCTAGTGAAATATAGGTTATTTTTGGTACTGAATCTGAATATCAATATGAGAATGATTGATAGAGCTTTTGGAACGATTTTTGATCGAAATGTTGTCCTAGTTTTGATTTATCACTTCAGCTTTCCTTTTCGTTTTCTAAATAAAAGAATACAGCTATGCTTTTGTAGCGAGAACTAGAATCATTATCTAGTTGCTCAGCAGATAGAACTAACACAAGATGGATGTGGATGCAAATCTTCTTTTTATTCACCTACATCTCACTATTCAAAACCTTAGCTATGTTCTTTTGTTTAGAGAAAAAACAGGAAGACTTAAGCAACAAATCTGTATAGAAGATGAACGAATTCAAGAGCAAATATGGGCGTGAACTTGGTTTCCTAGAAAACTGGCAATCATGATCAACACAAGACATACTACTACCAATATTCGAATATCAGCAGCAACAATAACCTATAATTTTATGCGTTCCAAGGATCTAGCGATTAAAAGTAAGATATGTTCCCTTGTTAACTTTTAATTTCTCGTAAATGACATCGTGAATTGACAGAAATAGGACAGCATATATAGTAGATCAATTTTCGTTTGTAACTAATAGATTTCTATATTGATATAATTGTTGTCCTATTCAAAACTATTGAGAACGATTGAAGCATACAAGAATTCATTTTTTGTTGGTAATAAATCGTATCGAAAAAGTAACAAGTTGCATTTTGCAGAGGGATCTAAAAAAATAAATGATATTAACATTAACTTAACAAATATAAAGAAGAAAACCAGACAAAGAGGTTTTATTTTGAAAAAATTACTATAACAGTTGATGACCTAATACGGTATTGATGGCTTACAAATATATAGAGTATATTTTTTTCTTTTAATTGAACCAGACATCGCGAATGAGATGCAACGTTGAATTTTCGATATCGTGCTGTGACATTATTATTTTTTCACGGTATGTCATTTTTTGCGGACAAAAAAAAAGGAATATCACATCTTAACTTAATTTATAGATGCTGTATTACATAATTTACGTAAAGTACAAATTAGAACTTTGGTCAGCTAGCAAATTCTTATTGATATTGAATTTCATGATTAATCAATAGATTATTATATTTTTATGAAGTTTACTATTGCATAACAATAATTATTGTTTCTGTAAACGATTAAGAGCTGTTAGCGCTATCTCTGCGGGATTGAAATGTAAAACAGGACATAGTTGCTGTTGCTCATTACAGTGAGATCGTTTTCTCCTATTTTTTTTTTTTTGGAGAACATTTCTTCACTATCCTTTTACGTAACTTTCGCGAAATGTCATAAAGAACTAGTTCCTATATTATGACTAGATGTTTTATTCATTTGCGATCTGTGATGATCTCTGACTGCCATGTGTCATGGACTGTCAAGAAAAGGAATGTATGCAAATTTCTACCCTACATATTTCAACCAGGAGGAAAAGCATACTTATTGTACGTCTTGGTACTTCTTTGCACTTCTCCAAACCAGTATTTTATTCAACATGGAGGTCAGGAGAGTGGTATTCCTCAATATATTGGGTTTGTATTTCTAGAAATTAGAAATCATTGTGCTATATAGTATGCGTTTGCTTGCTCGAAAGTCGATGTTCACTTTCTCAAAGTTTGAATCGCTTCATCAGAAGAGAAAAGCAAGATAAAACACTGCTCTATACTACTTCCCATGTCTGCAAACTCCTTTAATTGTTTTTTGTAACCATCTATTATACAAAAACTAGAATACCCTTGCCGAAAATAGTTCATTTGCTTCTATTTCTTGATATTTCTCAGTACATCATGGTACGTCTTGATACTTCCCCGTATTTCTGTATTTCTGCATATTTTGAAAGTATAGAAGTATGCTTTTTTCCTTTGATTTCAAGACCGCTTTTAAAAGTGTGTTCTACAAAACTAAGATTTTTGATTATTTCTCATACAACTCACATGAGAAATTCTATCAAATAACTATGTTGACGATTTTCTATAAATTTGCTTGAAGATAAATATTTTATTTGTTATTCAAAATCATCTATATTCTAGATATTATTTTAAATATGGCGCGATTTGGTTTCAAGAATTTATCAATAAAACAAATATTTTTTTATTTTAAAAAGCAAAAAAGAAAAAGAAAAAATTGTCCACAGCAACAGAATTTAGATGACAAATCATTCGCCTTTTTCAATAACGATTCGATACAAAAAAAAGAATATTCTAATTAAAAAAAAATCTGTTCTATTTTGTTCGTGTCTTTCAATTCTTCTTCTTCTTATTTTCCAAATCTAATTTTTCTTTCAATAATGGCTTGTTCAAAAGCCGAAGATTTAATCAATCAATTAATTGAAGCAACATTAAAATTATTAGACTTTGGTTTAAATATAATGGATGCATTACGTGTACAAAAATTATTAGCGATACGTAATCAAAAAATAGGTTTAATTAGTGATGATGCTTGTTTACCTGAATGTAGTCTTCGTTTTTCACTTAATTTTGATTTAATGATGTTTAATAAATTATTACGTAATGCGTGTCTTCGTGCACGTGCAACGCTTAATGAATTACGTGTTTGTCGACTTCGTTATCCAAATGCTCCACTTGTACTTGAACCAAAAACCAAAGTTAAATTTCATAAATTACAAAGAAAAATTCAAGATTTTGATGAAGCTGTTCGATCTGATAAAATGATAGCACGTCGTGATCTTCGAGATTTTCGTGAAATATCAATTATCTTTTCACAATTAGAACATGATTTAAAATTACTTATATGTAGTTTGGAATGTGCTAGTACAATGAAAGATACAGTTCTATTTGCTGCACCAATTACAGATGTTATGACAGTATTATCAATTGTTCTTAATCGATTAGTAAATGATATATTTATTTAATAAAAACAAATGTTTCATATTTTGTTTTTTTTTCTTTCTTTTTGTTTATGAATAGGAACGTTTAGCACAAAAAGCTGAAATTGATGAAAAAATTGCTGCAGCTGAACAACAAAAAGTTTTACAAGATCAAAATAATACACCAATAAAAGAATCAAATTCTTCTACACCTAATCAACAACAACAATCAAATTCACCAATAACAAGAAATCCTACAAATGATGTTTTATTTAATGGAAAAAATACGAATCGTACATCACAACAACGTCGACGACAGGATATGACAGCATTGATTGCAGCTGCTAGTCGACACAATAAAATATCAAATCACGAAAAAAATTCTATTCAAAGTGATACACCACAATTAATTCCATCGGATAAAAGTTTCAAAGAAAGGTTTGAAGATTTATTTAATCTCATTGCATCATTTCATAGAGTAAAATGTAGATACAAAAAAAAAATATTATTATCAGGATTTTTGTTTCACTTACTTTTCTTTAATAAGTTTCTACTAGATCTACAACAATTGGTCGCAATGCTGAAAACTCAAATCCGCAAAAGAATTTTCATAGCATTATAGAGAGATAATTTAGAGAGGTCCACCAAAATAACTAACGATTTATTTCAAGGACAAAAAACATTAGATATGAATTTAAATAGGAATGTTTAATTATTTCTTGCACGAGTGTCCGTAGTAGTTGTTTTAAAAAATTCCCATTATTCTCTACAATTTTTCCTTATTTTGAAGCTTCTGTTTGCTGCACGATTGTCGTCTTTTCGTCATATTTTGATAAATTTAAAATGTGAATGTCAACATTCAATTAACGTTGATCAGTAAAATTCTCTATGAGCGTATTCCAAGGCATAAATCTTCATTTTTCACATGTCATTCTTATTCCTGTATGATACAGATATGTAAGTTAATCACAAATCTGCAAAGTGAAGTTTGTGAAAAGTGAAATAAGAATCCTGCTTTTGTCAAGCATGTGACCTATTCTCATGGCGCCCATACCTATATATCGTTGTGATCAGTGATTATTTTCGTTTTGTACTTAAGGATGTCAGAAATTCGAACCTCTTCCTTACAAACACATAGTACTCATCCCATAGGAGCAGTCCATAAACAGTTCAATTATTTCAACACCATATGCATATTCATTTGATTCATTCCTATTTGAATATACTCTTTAACACAAACGAAGCTTGAAAATTTCGACGGAAGTCGCGTAAGAAAAAGAAAAACATTCATGTAAGCATCTGTATACCATGTTTTATAC